CGTTCTTGTGAACTCAAGAAAGCAATGTTGGGTTTTGGCACTTGTAACATGGCTTTTCGACTAAGCCATGAACATGAGTGTATAGTCTAAACGTCTCAAAGGTTGTAAGTATCAGCAATCAAAACAAAGCGAATTCAACTTTCAAGAAGGCCCTGCGCTCTGTAGAAATTAACCGTTTATTAGGTGACAGGGAAGAAAATCAGAGGAGGTGACTAAAAATTCAAACTACAGACGAAGCGAGCTGACAGCTTCTCGCCCCTGCGCTTCGTGTACAACAATTATATTTATTTATTGCGTTATATATTTGTTCATATATGTGGTTATTTATTCACTCATTTGTTCACTTGTTTTTGTTTGTTTGTTTACTAGTTTACAAATCTTGCGTGCTTCTTAATGAGGACTCCATCCCATTGAACAGAGATTTAAAGCTTCAAAAATTAGAGTTAATCCTGACTAGAGCAGGTGAAGCTCGTAAAAGGAAAACAGAACTTGTACTAAAATTTAGCCTTCAGTTTTCCTATAATTGCCTTTGTTCCCATTTCATCCTTCTCCACCCCCTCCCCGCCCCAAAAGTACCGTAAGAATTCAATTTCAATTCGTTGGTGATCGAAAACCACTTCTTCAAGCCGCTAATGACTGCAATTCTTTATCAAGGACTGCTTTCCACTTGCATGGAATTCGAGCCGTTAAAGCCGAGCTGCTCTCGCCCTTAAAATGGAGAAGACACTCAACAGCTCTTCGGACTACTTCGCTCCAAATTTTTCTCTCCGCCTAAGTAGCGCCACTTGACTGGTTTTTGTCGGCACAATTTCCGTTCCTCTTGGGACCTCCTCGGAAGGCGGGCAGAGTGTTGAGCGCGTATGTCAGCCAGCACCATTTCAGCGCATGCAAATATGCCATAAATGCGTTAGTCGCCGTAATATATGATGCACTGCTGGGTAACGACGAGAAATAAACGACGCTGTCAGCAGAGTTCACAAAAACCCTCATGGGCTTAGTTACCGCTGGCGCGTCCACTGAGGCCAGGGCGTTCCAATTCGCTAGCCCGACAAGGGCATCTTCAGGGTTTTTCTCCCGACACTGTCATCCACCGATTGACTGGGGATGATCCGTGACCGGGACAGGAAAGGGATGAATGGAAGGACGTTCTCGGGTCAGGATGAATCGTTTTCATCTCTGGCTTGCTGAAGCGGATTAGCGCATTTTAGTACATCTCATCCGTCCATCCGTCGATACCCGGCGTCAATGCGTAATGGCTAAATAGGCCAGAAAATTGCAGTCATATCGGACTTCCTATACGAGAGAATGTTACCACAATTATACTCATTTAAGAGAGGCAGCGAGCGCCGACGGGAGGTCATCGACGACCAGACGTGAAGGTGGGGACTGACGGGGCGACGGGTGTGTGAATGGCGTCAAGTTAAGCCAATTCAATGCGCGCATGGAACAGCAACCGAACAGGCCGGAGGCTTAGAAAACTCCGCTTGAGCGTGCTGAGACGAAAATACCCCCCAAAGTCAGAGGAAGAATTCTGAGCCTCACCCTCAGAAGATCGAGTTTTCGCTGGATTACCCTAATAGGAAGTCACAAAAAGCCGACATGAATGGGTGGGTCCCCAGCAATTGTCGCCACTCAGACTCAATAATCACTGCCCACGGCCGTCCCGGTAATAGATTGTTTTTCAATGGGTTTTCCAGCTGAAGTCGAGTAAACAATAAATAGCCTGAAGTAATAACTTTGAGTGGAAGTATACCTCCCACGGCCTGCTTGCCTCACCGCCAGCGGTATAATAACCATGGGAAACAACAGATCAATAGAAACTCGAAAGGGCGCATAGGCTATTATCCGGACTTTGGGTAGTATCAGTTCTTGGGCGAATGTTCTGGAGATCCTGCTCAGGCACGTATAAACAATGGAGAGTGGACCTCTTGCTCCGATCAAAGGGTTACTTCCACTTTAGCTTGGTTACTTGCGGAAGAGCTGAGAGAAAAACGACGACAGGCTCCAGATCCTGCCTGAAGAACCAGATACTTCTAAGCAGTAAAAAGTGAAAAAGGCTCTCTGTTTGGGCAGGCCTTGGGTAGAAAGTATCTACCTACAGCCTTCTTAACAGTAGGGCCGGAAGACCAGAAAACAATTAATAAAAGAAGATATTGATTCAAATAAAGATTCGAAGGGCAAAATGTCAGCGGGTTGTCGCCTGAGAAGATTTCAAGCTATCAGAGAAATGAAAGAATGAATGATACTTCCTCCATGAATGTGAAGATTCTAGAAGAAATTGTTACACAAATAATGCAGCGTCAGATTACTGACAAATGTTCATGAAATAAATCTTAAAAGACTCACACGGTGTCATCCTCACGAGGTCAGCAATAGGACACTTCAAAAATAGGACTATTGTCCTGGACGTCCAGCACATCCACGGTTACGGTAACACTAGATGATACGGTAGGATCAAGTCGTTCGTACGCTGTCACTTTTAGCACGTGTTTGTCGAGGATTTCACGATCAAGTGACTTGGCCAGCCGATTTTCACCAGAAATCTGAAATTTGAAATTTTCCGTACTGCAAGAGATTCAAAGAATACTGTAATAGAATACCGTATCCAGAGTGAAGATATTCTGAGATCGAGAGTCTTGTGGGGCAGCCAGCGAGTAATAAAGAGGCTGATCAGCGGCGTTGAACCGCTTTCACCGTGACCACAAGGGTACCAGGAGCTGCCGATTCGGCTAATTCCTTCACATAACTGCAAGTACAAATGAGTAGTATGGGTCGAGAGATGTAAAGCAAAGTGCAATGTGTCATGAAAGGGAATGAGCACTAAAGGCAATGAGTTAATGAGCGCCGCAATCTTACCTCTCTTGCTGGAAATGAATAGTGTTCGGATCGGGATTTCGTCGCCTCAACCAGCGTTTGAATCGTCGTTGCTTTGAGAAAATCGGATGACCGATTCGGAATTTGGCCCTCAGCCGTTTACCATCACATTCGTACGAATAGTCGATGAATTCGAAAGCATAGTAAAAACACAGACGTTGTTTTGCAAACACCAAACCCGTCTCATCGACAGAAATCTGATCGGAATGGATGTCAGGTGAGCGGAGACAGTCCTTACTCACGGGCCAGTCGAATATCGGCTGACCTGGGTGTAAACATGGAGGTCTCGACGGCGATATCCAGTAGATGTTTGTCGGATGAGGAATACACGAATGGCATGGAGTGGCAGTGGAGGCAGCTACTGATGCTAATTGTGGCAGGAATAAAAATAATAAGGCCATATTTGGGTACATATGTGAAGAATGGTCGTAGTGCAGCCGTCCCCTATTCGGACATGCCTCGGAAAGGGGGCGGAGCCCGAGGGTGACCAGCGAGGGACGAGGCAGGGAAGATTAGGGGCGGCAGGTGGCAGTTGATGAGGCAGTGAGTGGGCATTCCACGAGGATTAGATCGTGTGGGTACAAGGGCGATTGTTTCGAAACCGCTCTTTAGGTAGCTGGAGCTTATGAGACTCGGATCAAATTCTATTTTGCACAGGAATTTTTATGTCCTTTGCTTTTTGTTTGTTTTCATGTTTTGTCCCTCGATTTTGAGAGCTTACAATCCGCTTCACCAAGGTGATCAACGAAGCTTTTTCGTAGATAAAAATTGCATCACTTGGTGGAATTTCTTCTATCTTAAAGCTAATGTGATCCTTTTTATAGCGTGCTTTAAGCATAAATAAATAAAGGCGCTCATGCGCTTCAGGGGGGGGGGACATTCAAAATAGGGCATTCAAAAATTACTGGTAGTATGCTCGAACTAAGCTCAGGGAGGCACACCCGAGGAGCCAACAATTGCTCACAGTTCTCACAGAATCCTTTGTCCTCCTTAAGCTTGTAGTCCGCAGGTAATTGCAGAGCGGCTAGCTCACGTTGTATGTCCCCCCCCCCCAACGTGCCCGCCAAAAAAAAAAAAAAAAAAAAAAAAAAAAAAAAAAAAAAAAAAAAAAAAAAAAAAAAAAAAAAAAAAAAAAAAAAAAAAAAAAAAAAAAAAAAAAAAAAAAAAAAAAAAAAAAAAAAAAAAAAAAAAAAAAAAAAAAAAAAAAAAAAAAAAAAAAAAAAAAAAAAAAAAAAAACATGACGTAAAAAGCGCTCAAGCAAGAACCACAACCCCCATGATCATTGCTTATGTCTGTTATGACATACAATACTACGTAATTTCCCCAAAAATGCAGTTAGGTAATAACCTTTGGCCCCATATGAAGACTCGAACCCGCAATCTCTAACTGCTGGCAAAATGCGGTAGCAAGGTTGTCGCTGATGACGATTTTCATATTTCTTTTTTATTTTTTGTCTTTTTCAATTTTCATAAAGAAAAAAGGCATAGTATTCGTGTCAGTATTCCAATTCACAGAGCCTACTAAAATGATCTCAGAGTTGGATAAAGCTATCCGAAATCCCACGGACTGAATATACTGCCGAAAACACTCACCTGCAAGATAACACCAGGCAACGGGTATATTTAGTTGTCCAATAACAGCATGGGCGTATCTTTCCTTGGAGGATAAAGGATAAAAGGATAAAGCATTTGCCGTTGATCAATCCCTTTTTGGGATGCGGCACGCATTCTACTTCCATTTGTACATTCGTAGTGGCGTTTGAATGCGATGTGGCCTATACAATGACTTGCGGGGGCCAGCCGATGTACAAGTCAGTGTTTTTATCCTCCCAGACAAGTCTGGTACCAATTAACCGACCCCGGAGGGATGGAAGGCTTGGTTGGCCTGGCGCACCACGAAACTTCGTATAAGTGTATGCTATACGAATGAGTCGCAAAACCGGGCTGGACCAAGTTCGCCTCGAAAAGGTAACTAGGCTTTGACAAAGATAATTGCCCGGCGATAGAAGAAAACCTTGAAATTCGCCCCACACTTATGCCCTGAAAAACAAATGGAGCGTTTTTTGATACAACACGGCCCACTAAAGACACATCAGAAAAATTGCACCCATCCAGTCTAACAATTCTATAAGCGCTTACCGTACAATTCATGAACCAGGCCCGACCGAGAACCTGCTCGCCTATCATTCTTTTTACTTGCTGACTAGTCCATGGGCTTTTGCTTACTATCTGTGGGAAATTTCTGTTGACACATATGTGCTCGCTTCCTGATCATTGATTAAAAATTTGCTGCTCGGAACGCGGTGAAGATAACGACAGCAATAGTCCCAGAACTTAAAGGCAGCGATCGCTATGACTGAGGGTGGTGCGGTTTCGATGGGGTCATTGGACTTCATCGGTAGAAGGCCTTGAGAGGCAGTTCAAACCACACGAAGGGGTCCAGTGATGTCATAAGAACCGCAACCCCCTCCAACCACCGTGACTGCTGCCTTTAATGCTATGCACTCTCTGAATGGATATCCGGTGAGCCATAAGGTATTTCCGAAAAAGAGCCGAGCAACAGCTTCCTTTTTTTGAGCTTTTCACTGATAGTGATATCATCTCCTATTAAAGTCAATGAGGCATCAAGCTCGTCGGAGTGGAAAGCGTTAGTTAAAAAAATTAATTGATTCCCTGCGAATGCACGGTTTCTTTCATCTATTCCGCTAATGATGCATGTCCTTACTACGTCACAACGATCGTAACGGAAATTTATAATCCTCTAGGCATCATAACGAACACGCTATGATGCCGAAATGCGGTATTTCCTAAGGTGAAGGTGGGTTACTTGTCTCGACTCCTTTTTCAGGAACTGTCGAACTGAGTGTTGAAATCGCTTCTTTTTGCTGGGCAATTTTGCAATTACAGGACTGATTGTTCGTTTTTTTTCGTAGGGAAGATAGAGACTTCCATTAAGGAACAAGCTGTTTGGAGTGCGCCACGCGCCTTCTACTCTACCAAGATTTTGTAACGGTTTGAATGTTCATCTGGACGACGATGACTTAGTTAGGCCAATTCGTCTTCGAGGCTGTGTTTACCTTCCATTCGAGCTATAGAGCGACCCGGAGATCTTAGATTAATAAAATGGTAATCTCAAACTGAACTGACTCGATCCAGAGACCGCAGCTCTACCATGAAGTCGCCGGTTGTCGCACTGTTTCTCAGAGAGGTTCGACACCAACCCCCAAGATTTGAAATTATTTG